AACCCTCAGTGGCACACCTCCGTGTTTTTGGTAGTGATGTGTATGTTCATATTCCAAAGGAGCAGCGTACAAAATGGGAAAAGAACTCGTTTAAAGGCATTATGGTCGGCTACAACGAAGGTAGTAAAGCTTACAGGGTGTACGAGCCTATAAATAGAAGGGTGATTATTCGTCGTGATGTCATATTTAATGAAACACCTGCTACAGTCAACGAGGTGTATGAAAAATGCGATATAAATAATCGCGTTGATGACGGTGATAATACAAAGACACAAGAGGTGCAACAAAATGTGAAATCACAGAAGTCATAAATCTCCAATATTAACAAGAATCCATATCAACAAGAAGTGCAATTAAAGCACAAATCCCTCTCAGTAATACCAGTAGCTGAATTATGTGTTGCATATGTTGAACCATTAACTCTTGAGGAGGCATTGTCTAGCAAAGACTGCGATAAATGGACCGACGCAATTAGCAAAGAAATTCAATCATTGGAAACCAATAAGACCTGGATTTTAGTGCCTCGCACAAATGACATGCATGTAATTTCAAACCGTTGGATTTTTAAAAAGAAGTTTAAAACTAATGGTGACATTGAAAAATACAAAGCTCGTTTAGTGGTGAGAGGATGCTCACAGAAATATGGCGTCAATTACGATGAAGTTTTTGCACCGGTTGTTAGATATGAATCGGTAAGGACGGTTTTTGCAATTGCTGCGGCACGTGATATGAACATCATACAGTTTGACGTGAAAACTGCATTTCTACATGGTAATTTAGATGAAGTTATATACATGGAGCAGCCAAATGGTTTTGCTAAAGACGATCGAGTTTGTTTACTGAAAAAGAGCTTGTATGGCTTAAAACAAGCTTCAAGGCAATGGAACAAACGAATTGTACATTTTCTCACCAATTTTGGTTTTAGGCAATCGTGGGCAGATCCATGCGTATTTACATATGAAGTGAATAACGATGTCTTATATTTATTACTTTACGTTGATGATAAGCTTATATGTGGTCATAATACTGAAATCATTAAAAGCTTACTGCATAATTTATATATCGAATTTGAAATAACATATCACGAAGCAGAGTTTTTCGTTGGATTACAAATTAAAATTGATAAAGAAAAACGCACATTAAAATTATTTGAAAAGGTGTACTCAGAAAAAGTTTTAGAACGTTTTAATCATTTGAATTGCCATCCTGTGTCAACTCCAGCTGAAGTCGGAATGAATTTTGTAAAAGACGACAAAACTAACAACAAATCAAACATACCGTATCGTGAAGCTGTTGGATCACTTATGTACTTAATGATTTGTACCAGACCAGACATTGCTTATATTGTTGGAGTTTTAAGCAGATATCTTGAAAAACCCTCAGAAACACATTGGCAAGGAGTGAAGAGGATTCTGAAATATTTGAAAGGTACAGTTGATTATGGCATTCATTTTAAAATGCATTCAGAGCACATACAGTTATCAATGTACTCTGATGCTGATTGGGGCGGCGACAAGGATACTAGGCGCAGTATTTCTGGTTGGGCTGCATTTTTAAATGGTGGAGCAATTGCTTGGAGCTCACGCAAACAAACAATTACTGCTACATCAACTACGGAAGCAGAATTTGTGGCACTTTGTGCAGCTACTAAGGCAGCGAATTGGCTTAGGCAGCTTTTGTGTGATTGTGGGTATGAACAGCGTTCACCAACAATTGTTTTTTCAGACAATCAACGTGCGATTACACTGGTCAAAAATCCCCAGTCTTCGAAAAGAACGAAACATATTGACATTCAATATTTCTACACTTGTGACATGCAGGATCAAGGTAAAGTTGATGTGCAGTACAAGGAGACGAATGAACAGTTAGCAGATGTATTTACAAAACCTTTAAGTAAAGAAAAATTTTTGTATCTTATCAATAATTTTGTTAATATCTAAGTAAAAATTTAATTTCTAAAAGCGAGAGGGAGTGTTGAAAATATTCGCTTTTTATCATTGTGGCAACACTTATTGTTGTACATTTTCTTATTTTTTCACTTTACTTTTGTTTTGCCCTTCTTCTCGTTTTTAATCTCGTGGAGTGAACACGTTTTTTCTTTTTGTTCTAAAACTTAAATTGGATTAATAAAATACTCATATTAAATAAATGCACGTTTCTTATTTAATAAATTTAAGCTATAATAATCAAACTTCAACAGGTTATGGGCCCAGGAGCGCGATCACTAAAAAAAAATTACATTAATTGTTTTTGAATAAATTTTTATTTAAATAGCTGTATGGATAGTGAAGGTTCTCTGGTTCCTGTAGATTCTGCAATAGCGATTGATTTAACTAACAGTTTAATTGAAGATTTACAAGACAGCTGTAAAATAGCTGAGGTACAAGATATAAACATGAGTGAATCAAGGATGTATCATATACACCGTTTCAATGGACAGAATTACCAATTGTGGCGACGACAAATGGAGATATACATGAATGAGAACAAGCTCAACAAATATATTCTTGGAACAGAAAAAAGAACAGATGTAAATGGCATCCAATGGGATGACAAGGACGCGGAAGCACAGGCTTTTATTATGAGAGGAATTGAATTGGAACAACTAAAATATTTAACGGAATGTACTACGGCAGCACAAATGTGGTCGAAATTAAAAGCTGTGCATGCTGAAAAAAGTGAGCAATCAGCGCAAGTTTTACTTGAAAAATTTATGAGTACTAAAATGGCAGACGACGAGCTGGTGGTTGACTTCATAGCAGATATCATATCAATAGCGCAACGACTCAATGATATGCAGCTAGAGCAAAAAGAACCAATGATCATTGCAAAAATTTTAAGCAGCTTACCAGTTAGATTTGACCATGTACGTACAGCATGGTATGCGGTGCCACGCGAAAACCAAAATATTGAACGTCTAACTGATCATTTAGTAAACGAAGAAAGCCTCATGAATATAAGGGCAAATGGCGGAATGAACACTAGCAATGCAGTCTACTTTATAAGTAAAAGCAAACACAGTAACAATACGGCCAATGCAGTGTTTTCAACTAGTAAAGGAAAAGGCAGTAACAATATTACTGTAAAACGTAAGGGCAATTGTAATTATTGTAATAAACCGGGTCATTGGGCCCGTGAATGTAGAAAACGTAAAAAAGACCAAAACTATGCACATACTAAAAGGAACGAACCGCAAACTCTATTACTTCAAAGTGCGAATGAAAAAACTTGGCAAATGCAGCAAGCAGCTGACAGTGAAAATACGTATTTATTCAATTTGAACTCAACAAAGAATTTAAACAAGATTGAAAACGTATTCTATGCGGACTCTGGTGCAACTGACCATATGTCATTTCAGAGGGAGCTTTTAACAAATTTAGTTGCTGAATCTTGTAATGAATATGTAAAAGTTGGCGATGGCCGGCGATTAAAGGTAGAAGGTAAGGGTGACATTGAGGTACGTGGCAATTCAAACATTTTGCATCTTATTAAAAATGTTTTGCTAGTTCCAGAATTAGATAAAAATTTTATATCAATTTCAAGAGCAACTGAAAGAGGTGCTAGAGTGACATTTGAACCAGGTGGTAAATACGTTTATTTCATGAATGGAGACTCTCTGATCACGGAAGGTGAAAGTGAAAACAGACTTTATCGCTTGAATTTGAAACCAGTGTTGACATCATCTTTAAATGTTTTGACATCCGAATCTGCAATGCTGTGGCACGAGCGTCTTGGACATGTTAACTTTGCAACACTTAAGGATATGTGTGCACGTAATGTAGTCTGTGACTTACGCGTAGCAAACTTCCATCAAGAGAAGATATTTTGTGAGGGTTGTGCCTACGGCAAACAACACAGGCAGTCATTTCCAAAAAGTGGCGCAAATCGCTCTGAAAAAGCGGGTGAAGTATTCCATATGGACTTATGTGGAAAGATGAGTATGCCATCAATTGGTGGATCGTATTATTTTTTGCTTTTGAAGGATGATCATTCACGTTATTGTTTCATTTATTTTCTGAAAAGCAAAAAAGATGTTTTTAAAAACTTAATGCATTTTCTAGCAGATGTTCAAGCGGATGGACATTCAATTAAACGAATACGTTCGGATGGTGGACTTGAATTTTGCAACAAAGAAGTAAATAATTTTTTATTAAAAAACAACATCAAGCACGAAGTTACAACACCAAGAGCACCCGAACAGAATGGATTCATTGAGCGACAAAACAGAACAATAATTGAAAGTGCGAAATCTATGCTTCACAATAGAATGTTACCATTAAATTTATGGGCTGATGCTACACACACTGCAGTTTATCTAAAAAATAGAACACCTTCAGATGTGATTGGAGGATGCACTCCATTCGAATTGTGGTTTAAAAGGAAACCCTCAGTGGCACATCTCCGTGTTTTTGGTAGTGATGTGTATGTTCATATTCCAAAAGAGCAGCGTACAAAATGGGAAAAGAACTCGTTTAAAGGCATTATGGTCGGCTACAACGAAGGTAGTAAAGCTTACAGGGTGTACGAGCCTACAAATAGAAGGGTGATTATTCGTCGTGATGTCATATTTAATGAAACACCTGCTACAGTCAACGAGGTGTATGAAAAATGCGATA